CACTTAATGCCTATCATACAGTCTTTTGTGGATTGTTGATGTGAGATGTGGCTGACCTTCCCACAGGGAAGAGGGTTCACTGTGGCACTGCTTGTCATTCAAGGGAAACACCTTACTGCTATCACAACCCCATCCCGGTAGTAGTAAGACTTCGCTCTAGGGACCCTATCACAGTGTAGTGATTTATACTACAACAGTAACTGCTTTCTGTCTTACTACTACCAAACAAACCTTTCCAGCACGATAAAACCTCCAAGAAACAAGTGATCCAGCCAGTGTAGGTCATTGGGTCATTTTAACATACAAGCCAGACCACCACACCAAGGTAACAACTATCGGCCGAGTAAGTGCGGAAAATGATTTTATGTCATGTATGACTTATTCTCGCACAAGAATGCTTACGGTTTCAAAAAGACTGTGTACATTATTCATTCGTTGTTGCACTAAAACATATGACTTAATGTACTACTATCACTGCCTTCATTCATCTCTTTAGGTTTGTTTATGATAAAAGCACGTCAGCTAAAACATCTTAAGCCAGTTGTAGACTATATAATATATCCCTCCGACTAACCATTGCTAGATTTTTGAACTTCGGCTTCGATGTAGTAGTGTTTATTAAATTCTGACAAATCACATACATTGATATGGAGTTAGGTGATGTGCACATCAGATCGACGGAAATTTAAAATTTGTATTAAAAATAAACTAGTTATTTCTTGTTTCAAGGTCATTTGCACGCATATGGTTATGGTAGTAATCATCTGTATTTTTAGTAGAGGTTACTGCAATGCTGTTATTCTGAAGGTAGGGATATATATATATATATATATATATATATATATATATATATATATATATATGCATTTGAAAACTAGCATTTCAGAAGAGCCACTCAAAGCATCAACATATCATGAAAACAATGAGGCCTAAAATATCTAACGGCACGGAGACAGTTCACACGAAGAAGAATAATAAAGTTCCTTGGAGCTGCATGAATAAGTTGGAAACAATCATACTTCTGATATATACCTAATTTTAGTTATTTTTAGTGCTAAAAATAAGCTATATACAAAACGTCTTATTTTGCATGCTCTTGTTAACTTAAAGGTGCTTGGTTGTAAGTGGATAAAACATAAAAGATTTATTAGTAACAGACATTTTTAAAGGGAGCTTAGCTATAATTAAAAAGGCAAGACGGGGATTCAGCACTAAAAACCAATGAATATAACTGACGTAATAAGACAGTAAAAGTCTACCATGAATTTTTTAAATTGGCAGGTCAGTAGTGAATATCATCAAATAAAAGGCTGATCTGAAGGATGAAAGAAATATTCTCATTCATTTGAAATCACATAGACGACACCTATTGGCTCGATAAATATCTAATTCTACCAGTTGTGATTAACGTCACATTACTGTAAAAGTCTATAATTTCGCTTAGCCAATATAATGTAGCAATGAGAACTTTGCTGGAAACTAGAAGCCTATTTCTGCGCAAATCAATGTGCTAAAGACTTCAATTCGATAGCATTTGTCCCTTCATTAAGCCTAAGCCAGCAACAATTTCTTTTGAAGTCTTTTCGCAGTGACATACTAGCATATTTCTTGAAATCTGAGAAGTGAAACCGAAAACAGCTGTTAGGTTGACGAAATGAGGGGAGAATCAAATAGAAATTTTTTGTAGTAGTATGTCACATTTTATAATTTATTTGCATCACTCATTCTGCACTAAACTAAAGAAAAGCGTGTCCATGTGCCTGATATGTGTACAATTCGACTGGTATGAGTTCTTCCGAAAACGTTTTCATTTGACTTAAGGATCAGTTTTACTTCAGGGCCTTTGTATGGTACGCCCGCTGACATGAATGCTGGGTTGTCAAACTATATGATTTTGCATAACGCTACTTGTTGTAGAAGCACTCAAACTTAAGCACACTTCTGGAAGTTTGCTTGCCAATAAAATCCTCTTATCACTTATGATAAGTGTACCGGACATAGCTACATTTAATCTTACAACTAAAGCATTAAAAGATATGGCAATCACTACCCTTACAAAAAAAGAAAATAAATACAAACGCAAGAGGTTTTACTAACAATCGAAAACATATTTGATACCAAATAATGTGAAAATGGAGGAACCCTAAGGGAATAAAACACTTAAAGCTAGGTTATGCCATAAACAGTTGATAGGGAAAAATTGATTTCGGACTTTCCATGCGCAACAGCTTTATGAGTAAGAAGTATTTGTTCCCTAGTAATTCATTGTATTACCTTATATTACGCTTCACTATAACAACCTACGACATGCTTTCCCTCTTGGTTTTCGAAGTAATTTTTGTCCTATCGTTTCGAAAACTCAACTTGTGCAACCTCCGATAGCCCTTTTAAAAGCACTATCCTGTTTGAATACTTATTATTAGCGATCTGCATACTTCTGACGCATGCAGACAATTCAATGTCATAATAACATGATTTTTCTGATTTATACACATCTAATCGCTTTTGCTTTGATAAAAGAATTAGTCAATAGCTTGACTTTATTGACCGTTCAAAAATTGATAACGTGTAGACTTTGTTATCTAGTTTTATTGATTCCACAATTTTAGCAGTATCCCAATTCCTAAAGTGAAGTTAATCTATAGACATGGTTGGACTAGACATGATACAGATCATTTTTACTTAAGTCCTCATAACTTAAGGATCAAGTTTTAGCAATACTAGCATTTTATTAATGCACCTCAACCTTATCTCATAAAATATGTTGTGGGAAGGGAGCTTCATATATAACAGGTACCCCCGATTATCCAACACTGACATAAAATGTGCATATGCATTCATCTCTTTGTTACATGCAGCTACATCTACCTTCTATAATACGTTTGTATTCAACTGTTCTCACCCAACGCCAATTGAATGAAGTTGTTTCAGCAGAGACTCGACTACAAAAATCGAGAACAAGGTAAGTATTCCCGACAAAGATACATTCACTGACGGTTTCAAATGATTTAATGACACTGAAATTGCTGACAAGGCATGAACTGCAACCATTATTGCAACAGATAAGACTAAAGAAATATAAGTGTTGAAACCGCTATCCAAATGTAGCATATGCTTGTGAGTTGTATTACAGTTGAAGGGCTGAATAATACGCAAAGACGGAATCGTAAAGTTAAGGTGCGAATGCTGTATCAATTATCATCACTGCGTGAGTCTTCTGTTATAAGGACAACCAGTTACTTACAAAACAACCAATTATTGACCACTTTACATTGAATTCCACTTAAAAGAGATTACTGCATATCACTATTTTAACCTATTGTTCCTATATGACTGATCTGCGATGCTGTCTAGTCCAACAATAGTGAGTACGTCGGCTGAGCGTGTTAACCACTTCACTTACGTGGTTGATTAGACTAGCCAAGATGGGTCAGTCACCGACGAAATCTCAGCAAGGATATAGAAGGCCTGCTTGGATTTCGCCGAATTACGCCTCATGGCACTATAGTGATACATAATCGCCTATTAAGGGTCAAGTGCACTGCAATTCTGTGTTTTACTAAGGGGGCATACAATGTTATGTGTGAAATATTATATATGAAACATCCTCCACTTCTAGTGGAGGAATTCGGGCATAGTTTCAGGTAAAAGACGTAAGTCGATCAGTTAATCAAGTTAAAAATCTCCAAGGGGTCATATAACTGAGGCGTGTCGCGCATGCTTAGTCACCATTTACTGCATCGCACGTTAGCTGAAGTAGGTTCAGGCTGGAAGTATCCAGACTAAAACATAGCACCAGTCGGTGGAGTCTCCACCGTCAATTTGAGCTGTATAGGGGAATGTTGACTTCCAGGTTGGGGTTGTATGACAATGAAAAACGGTAGTTGAAGACTAGGTGATATAGCTCAGAATCAATCACAATGCCACAGTTTCATCTCAATGTTGTCTCCATATTAATCGTCATACTGACTTTTATTATTGTCTCATTCCTTCTCGCTGTCTTTTCACGACTTTCTACTAATTTTGACTTTTGGTGCATTAACTGTCTAGTTTAATTAGGTGACAATCTGTCTCCAGTTCATTATAAATAAATAGAAGTAAAGCAGTTTTGCTCTTGGGAAGGAGGGCATGCCGAAAATGAGGTATGAAATTGAGAGACCTAACGTTTTACACCATTTAATTAACCACCGTAGTCTAAGAATGAAAAATAAAGGAGTGAACTGTCACTTCTTTACACATGTAAAACGTGTCAGGTGTTAAACAGTACATTCCCTTCTGAACAAACATTCAAACATCTTTGCTGAGCATCAATTTAAAAAACGAAGTGAAGAGTACCGTTAAGCTATGAAGCAAGATCTACTAAAAAACAATGATTAGGTCGATGCGCTGGTGACCTTGCTTGAAACCTGTTTGGCTTTTCCCAGTTCCCTATAGCTTAGATTTAGTTGAGTCTCAGATAATTATCACCATTGCTATCTCGGGACCTTGAGAATTATCTATTTGGAAAAACCCTTTGTGGTCATCACTTCAGAGGTTGAAAGAACCAAAAGAATGGGTTCTGATGGCAAATCTTACGTGCACATTGTAGCTAATACACTAGATGTTTTGACTTGTGATCTTACATCTTTCAGATGTTGGTCTATAGGGAGTCACCACCCATCTTATTTTTAAAATACAAACCCCACATCGTCAAGTTTAGTGATGTTTCTTCTAAGAAGATTGAACGTCAAGTAACTGGAATATAGCTTGTTTAAATGCAGTTTCGTAGTTTGTCCAATCTTCTTAGTTTACTGAGTTAGTTACCAACCAACCTCGCTGAATCGTCAATATCTTCATAGTAAGTCTAAATCGTTATCGAATACCGCTTATCTTAAACATCTCCATTTGATTGGCATTTACTACTGCTCGACCCAACCGTTCACAATTACTGTGCAAATATGGTTAGGATGTTTCTGCATTTTAGCTTATTTAGAGCTACCCAGGATGAAAACTACAGAATGTATTCCCACACTATCTTTATTTTCTTTCTTAAATAAAGAAACCCTAAAGTAGTCTTGGATATTTATCTGCCATGGTAGGTGATACACCCATCATATTTCAGGATAAGCAATGCTACAATGTTGATATCTCTAAAAAAAACTGCTATATAAGGAAACCACAATTTGCTGTTATCACAAGTAACACACCAATCTATGAAGTCTGAGGAATAGCTAGACTGAGTTAGATCAGGAGAATTACCAGTACAGAACAAAATCATGGAAACCAACATCAAAAATATTACAAAGATTAGTGACAGCCAGAAGTGTAACAGAGCAAAGGAGCTTCAAATGTTACTTCAATGTGCCAATGAGGACTGGAAATAGTTCAAGCTACATAAGTTCAGTGACGTGCACACAAACATTTCGTCCGACAACCAAAGGAAGCTCCAAACTTGCACCCAAAGTGATGAAAAGATGATATATACAACCCGAAAACATTGTATTTCATTTTCTTTTCCGTTTGTTCTTTTTCCCTTGGGAATTTTGATCAGTAGTTGAACCAGATGTAGGTGGTCTTCTTGATCTCACAACAGGAATGACCTTCCCCAAATACAGAAGAAGAGCTTGACGATTAGGGAACCTATATTCAGTTATTAACACATTCTAAATCATACTGTTCATTAACAGGAGTCCCGTCGTCGTTTTTCAGATGAACGCGAACACGCCACTTGTTCATAGGTTCAAACGCATCTTTTTCTCTCGGGTGAACCTGAAGCCTAAAATGCATTGGAATCGCATTAACAAACTTTAGATTCCAAGATGTGGTCGATAGACAATTTCGACAGAACCATAGTTACTTCTGAATGTTTTGGGTTGTCAACACACTGCTCTACTGACAGTTTCCTTCCTTGAGCTCTAGTTCGACGATTGTTCAGATAAGCTGGATATATGCAAACCCATCGTTCTTTAGCAGAATGAGGAAGGTTAGGACTAAATGGAGAAAGCAAGGTTTTCTCCATGAGAAAATAACGTCACCAAGACCTTGAGCACAAAACACCCGCCAAATGTTTTAGGTGTTCAGATGGATCAAATGGTTGTTGAAGGAATAGAAGCTTGTGCTTAACTGGCTTTCGCATCTACAATCCGTGGATCACTACTCCTTTTGATTGTTAACCTATTGCACAAGTGAAGAAAGGTGAAAAAAGGGAGATTCAAATGTGAAAATTAACTAAGTTCTGGGCAGATCCCAGACAGACATCAAGTGGGTATCCAGTCGGCGTTTAAAAGATTCAGACGAAATAGCCTAGATCGCATCTTCTGGAAGAGCGTTACGGAGTTTAACAACTTTTAGGAAATAGAAGTTGTGCCTGACATCCCGCCTGCTATGTTGCAGGCTTAGTTTATGCGTATGTCCTCTGAGACTAGCGCTGCAGCTAAGATTTAATAAGTGACGGAGTGGGTGGCCAGGTGCGCTCAGAATGCTGTAAGTCACTATCAATTCACCTCTTAGCCTTCTGTATTCTAGAGGATACGGACCCAGAGCAATTAGCCGTTCATCGTATGTTTTGGACTTCAGTCCTTGAACAGATTTTGTCGAACGCCTCTGGATGCGTTCCAAGCTTAGTTTGTCCTTCTGGAGATAAGGGAGGAAGACGATAGTCCCGAACTTCAGAAGAGGCCATATGAAGCTGTTGAAAATTTGGTGGAGGCATCTACGATCGAACTGCCCGAAAATTCGTCTACGAATTACTGACGCCAAGTTCTAATACCTAATATCCAATATCCGTGTAAAGAGCTTGTGTAAACCAGTCGATTTCTTCTTACTCGCTTCTTGGTCTCGTGGGACGGCCCCAGGTTCTTCGCAGATTCCGAGGCTGTAGATCTAGTCACTCACACTTCAAACTTCGTGTTGTAGAATTAGTGAATGGCGGTACTCTGGGTTCTACGTCTGCCTTATTGGAATACGTTCCGAGTTTGGAATGGTCACAATTATCTTCCCGGTTCTGAAAAACCAGAGAGGATAGAGATACGACTATTAATTAGCCTGGTCTCAACATGTATGGTTCTCCTACGTGGAAGCTCAATTTGTCTTGAGACATATTCACTCACAAGAAACTAAGTCCAACTTCCTTATCGTCAGCTTACCGGAAAATGTGAACGAAGATGTCTCAGGCGTGCTAGACGACAAAGCACCGAATCTGTACGATCACCTCAAAACCGCCCTCGTCAAACGCGTTGCACTCGCTGACCAGCAGAAGTTGCAGGGACTTTTCAGGGATGTGCATCTGGGCAATCATAAGCACACGCAACTGCTTTGTCAGATGAAGCAGTCGGTCGCAGATTTCAATATTGATGAGGCATTGCTCAAGCAACCGTGGTTACAGATGTTACCACAACCGGTGCAAGGAGTCCTGGCACTCCTTCATAAGTGCTCCTTAAGAGAACTGGCGGAAGCGGCTGATAGAACTGTGGACGCTACAAAGCCCATCACCAATATCTCACCTGTACTTTCTGCCGTCACTGATTCGTCCAAAAACTGGTACCCTCCATCATCAAGTGAGCCAACAAGTTTCGATGTTATAGCTCACATCTCGAAATTGTGTGAGGAGTTGCGCGGCATCAAGAACGAAATGTGGTCTGTTTGTTCTTCTGACGATCACAGGTCCCGCCCACGCAACAGATCTGCCTCCCGTACCGGTAACAGGCGTCCTTAATCGCGACCGTCCCAACCCAGGTTGTGCTCGTGCCATAAAAGTTTTTGTGCCGATGCCAAAAGGTGCACTTGACCTCGCACCTTCGAGGCTAACTAGGCGGGAAACGTGCGAGCCAGCACATGGCGGCGACTAGCGTAGCTGGGGAACCACTTCCGTGTCGCCTCTTCTTCGTCACCGATCGACATTCTTGGATACGCTTCCTAGTTGGCACTGGGGCAGAAGCCAGCGTCATCCCACCTACGAAGGAAGAGCGTCCGCGGCCAATTTCTGCAACTCCGTGCCACCAACGGTTCGCCCACCACAACATACGGTCAGAGATTCCTCAACCTCAACCTTGGACTGCATCGTTCCTTCCGTTGGGTTTCCATTGTAGCAGACGTGACCACCGGTATTATTGGTAGGGATCTCTTACAGCGCTATCAGCTGTTGGTAGATGCTGGTAAGAATAAGTCGATTGATTCTACCACAAGACTCTCTGTCTCCGGTATTGTCACAAAGACGCCGTCCCTCAGTCCCGTGTACTCCACGACGGACGCTTCTAGTCCCTAGACGTTTATTATTTGGTCCTTTTCGGATGTCTTTAGGCCAAGTCGTTGTGTACCTTGTGTGACTTCAGACGTTTCTCATCACACAACGACGACTGGCCCGCCAGTGTTGGCTAAACCACGGCTGTTATCCGCAGAGGAACTGCGTGCTGTAAAGGCCGAGTTTGAACACATGCTTGAAATGAGAATAATCAGATCATCCATCAGTCCACTGTCTTCACCCTTTCATGTGGTACTAAAGAGCAATGGTATGGACTGGAGGCCTTGTGGTGACTACCTAAGGCTCAACGCTAAGACGATTCCAGATCTTTTCCCAGTCCCCCACATACGCTACTTGACTGCATCTTTTAAAGGCTCGCTTATCTTCAGTAAACTTGACTTGGCGCGTGCGTGTCACCAGATCCCAGTTCATCCTGATGATATTCCCAAGACAGCCGTCATTACACAGCTTAGTCTTTTCGTGTTTCTTCTCATGCCCTTTGGTCTTCGAAACGCAGCACAAACCTTCCAACGTTTTATTCACCATGTTTTACGCGGACTCGACTTCGCCTATGCCTACTTAGACGGCATATTAATCGCTAGTCCAGACGAAGACACTCATTTTAACAACCTGAAACAGGTCTTTGCCAGACCATCAGGGCATTCGATGGTAGTTAACCTGGCAAAATGCCAGATTGAAGTTCGTTCACTGCAATTTTCGGGACACGCTATCTACGAGCAACCTATTCCCCCACTACCTGAAAAGGTACAGGCGATCCAAGACTTTCCAGTCCCAGGGTTCATTAAAGCTCTGCGCGCGTTTCTGGGGATGGTGAGCTATTACCGTGGCTTCGTCCCCCAGTGTGCGCACATTTTGACTGCACTGACTGACCTGCTGAAAAATAGGTGTAAAACTTTCAGCTTGACTCCTGAGGCACTAGACGCATTTCGCAAGACCAAAACCGTTATAGCAGACGCCACGATGCTGGTACACCTCTTAGCATTGCGGTTGACGCCTCTAACACGGCCACTGGAGCTGTGTTGCAACAACTTTCGGATCACACTTGGATTCCACTTGCACTCTTCTCCCGGAAGTTTTCAGCCTGCGAAATGTTGTACGGAACTTTTGGCAGAGAATTGCTCGGCATATATGCCTCTGTTAGGCATTTTCGCCACTTTGTGGAAGGTCGTGATTTAATTATCTTCACCAACCACAAACCTTTGACATATGCCTTACATACCACCACTCACGGATATTCACCGCGTGAATTACGTCATCTAGATTATATTTCGCTATTCATGTCTGACATCCGTCATATTTCTGGTGTGAATAACCCTGTCGCAGACGCACCGTCTGGCACCCGCACCACTACTTTACCTCGAGCGGTTGACCTAAGGAAGATTGCTGTACTTCGGGATTCGGAAGAAGAGAGTGAAAAAACTCAGCACTCAACCTCTCCGAAGCTACAGCGTATACCGCTCCTGAACAGTGAAGGGACAATATTATGCGACATCCCCACAGGCAGACACAGGCCTTTTGTTCCTTTACTCTTGCGTAGGCACGTTTCTGGTGCTCTACACAGTCCTTCGCATTCCGGTATCCGTGCTACCGACAAACTGATACCTGCCAGGTTTATATGGCCTGGCATTAACCGTGAGGTTCAAAGCTGGACATTGTCATGTATCCGGTACCAACGTTCTAGGTGAACCACCACAACGTCACACCACTTGGATATAGTTACCCGCTGACACGTGTCGATAGGTTAACTTGCTGGCCGTTAGCCATCTTATTGTCTAACATTACTGCAGAAACAGTAAGTAGGGTCTTCGTCGAAGGATGGGTTTCACAGTTTGGATGCCCTTCCACTGTGACAACCGACAGAGGCCAACAGTTAAAATCCGTTACCTCCCAGAAGCTGATGAATTTGTTGGGATACAAACGCGTCCGCACTACTGCATATCACCCAACTTCCAGCTGTTTTGGAAGAACGATTTCAACGACACCTTAAAAGGGCATTGATGACAGTCGACAACATGAAACGGACCAACTATCTACCGTCGGTTCCTCTCAGCATCCGTTCTACACTTAAGACGGATGTGCAGTGTACTCCTGCTGGGTTAGTTTACGGCTGCAACTCGTGTTTGTCGGTTGAAATGGTAGCTTTAGATTGCACTGACCCAACTGTAACCGACATCCATGGCTACGCGCAAACTCTTGAGCTCCGCACGCGTAGCCTTAAAACCCCGATCCACGCGGGTACAGTGTAGACAGGTGCAACTGGACAAAAGACTCCAAGATTGCACCCACGTCTTTGTGCGTTGTGACCGTGTACGTAGACCTTTACAGCCACCATACGAGGGACCCTTCAAGGTTCTCTGAAAGACAGAAAGGTTCTTCGTCAGTGACAGATCTGGACAGCAGGGTTCTATAAGTGTCGATCGTTTGAAGGTAGCGTATATAGACGTCGACCCACTTCCCTTTGCAGCGGCACAAACAGAAAAACCTTTGCCGCCGGACCTTCAAAAAGGCCCATCTAGTCGTTTATACCTTGAACGTTCTAAAAGAACGACCTCTACTAGCACCGAACCAGTACCCTCCACTCGTACTGGGAGGCATGTGCACTGGCCCGAACGATATGCCGATTTCGTTACTTAGCCCCAGGGCAAATTCTCACGGCAACTTTGGAGTGCGAATATTTAATCCTTACAAGCACTAACACTGCATTTGCACGTGTAAAGTTTTCAGGATTTTTTGTTCACGACTACAAATAATAAAAATGAAAAATATAAACTCAAAATGCAATTAAAGTTCTGAAATGTTTTTTTGGTTGGTCAATACTTCTT